TTATTCCAGCTTGGATATTTTTCATGGTAATTTGAATTTGCTAGTGCAAATTTATATGTTACTTGTGAGCTTTGCTTTTAATTCGCCCCATTTTACTTCAAGCACTTCATCACCAGAGCTTTGTCTTTTGTTTGCATGACCTGGAGAAACAGTAAAAGCAATAGCTTAGCAGAGATGTGAGATGGCAGCTGGCCCAGAAAGCCTGAGTTTATTTCAGAGTTTTAGAGAGAAATTACTTTGTCTGTCTACATAAATGCATTCAAAATTGTAGTTAAAGACTTGAACTACGAATCTTAAGAATCTGCTGACTTTTTGCCAATGTTCATGTGGCATGCAGGAATACAAACTCTCTGAAAGCAAAATTGTGCTGAAGTAAGTCTAATGTGCATTCTGACATTTCATTGCCTTGCATCAGTGCTTGGAAAGATCTCACTGGCAGTCTGAATGCAGTCAGATCCAAGAGGGCTTCTTCATCTTTTGGGGGGAAACTTTGGAGGACGTGAATGTCCTTTATGTTTCAGATCTTGTTATGCTGATGTTTAAATGTAAAACTAATATCTGGTTATAATAATAAAGGCTATGTTGGTTTTTAGGTTTGGTTATAAGCTAAACTCTTAAGAGCCTCTATTTTGCATTTAGGATGTTCCAGTGATTGGGAAAAGTGGAAGGAGTTTTAGCTACAACCAAGATGTAGTTGTACTTCTCTTAATAGATGGAGTCTTGTTCCACCTGCAAAGTGTTACAGCCTATGCCCTGATGGGAAAAATTTCTCCTGTGACTTTCAGGTAAAACTTCATTTCCGTGCTTATGTTTATTTTTCTCACTCAATATTTCTGCTTAGAAACCAAGTAGTAAGAGTACTGTGCAAAGAAATGAGTAAATGCACAAATGTGTGAAATGTTAGAACAAATTTTTTCACATCCGCATCATGAAAAGCTTTTGGACTGGTTGCTCAAAGTGTGAGAAGAGCAGCATTTGGCACGTGCTGTTGAAGCTGGGAACAGGTGCTGACATTTGCTGTGGTGATAATAAGGCAATACCTACAGATAGCTAATTGCAGTACAGAAAATGGTCAGTCAGCTCTGTACAACTGTTTCTGAGGCGTGACACCAGCACGACAAGCTACACTTTCTGTAATACTTGTGTCTTTTGAACATGGCTCCTCCTTTGTTGTCAGTTATGGGCAGCTTCGTTAGGCTCCTGCACAATTCTGGTGCTGTGATGAATACTCTATAACCTGAGCAGTAACAGCACATCAGAAATGGCACTTATGTTGGTGGTGTTGTGTTGATATTGTCTGAGTGTCTGTTTTAGATAAAAATGAACTGCTAATGCAAATAGCATGCAAATGCATGGTTAAAAATAACAAAGAAACCAAACTCTGAGGTGACTTACTAAGTCTACAGTAAAATGTCTTTGAAGATATTAGTGCCAGTAGACGAGCACTGTGGCTAGAGGATTACTGAACTAGGAAAAGTGGAATCTGATTGGTATTTAAAAGCTAGCAAAAGAGATCTCCTAAATGAGGACATGATTGTGTGTTCCTACACTCCATACAGGAGAGATTTCTTTGGCCTTAACTTCTGAAATTCCTTTCCAGTGTTGCCAGTACTGTGAAGCACGCACTGTCAATCTGGCTAAGTATTATTGTGTTTGGTAACAAAATCACAAGCCTCTCAGCCATTGGGACTGTTCTAGTGACGGTGGGAGTTCTGCTTTACAACAAGGCAAAGCAGCATCAGCAAGAAACTATACACAGCCTGGCAGCTGCAGCCCCACAGCCTGCACCAAGTACAGCTGAAGATACTGAGCCACTGATTGCCAAGGATTTGAAACCATATGATTGATATGACCACTTATTCGTACAACATTGTACAACTCAAAGGGACTCCTGCCAGAAGTGACTGTTTCTGTGACTGTTGATGCTGATGTGGTTCCTTTGAGGTTCACAGCAAGTCAGGCCTGGGACTTGAAGCAGAAAGAGAACGATGACAAGAACCCAGGAAGCCTTGATTTTTCTGAGAAACTGAAATAGCAGAGGGCCTGGTGTTATTTAATGTGGTGAACGTGGGCTTTTTGATCTCTTGACTGCAAAAAAAACCACACAAGCCTATATTAGAGAAAGAACTTTGGTGTCTTGTAGGAAAATTCTTGCTTCCTCCTTGCCCAGGAAAACAATGTGAAAACTTTGGCCCGTCACTGTATTTGGCTTTCTTGCAGTGGAATGAAATTTCAAAGTGTTATTACTGTATGCTGCATCCTCCATTATCTGTTTGTGTTGCAGAGCTGGAAGAAGGAACCCCTCCCTTCCCCAGCTCATGTCTCAGCAAATGGCTTATTTTGGTAAAGCCCTCGTTAAAGTAAATTACAGACATGAGTCCATGTCTCAAAGCACAATGAGCCACTATTTCCAACTACAAAACTAGCAGTAGATAGTCTTTTTTTTTTTTTTTTTTTTTTGCTGAAACTCAAAAGGGAAATCTTTCATCCTGGTTATGTATTTACAGTATTGAAATGCAAGTGCACAGACAGCTGTACTGTATAAACAGTGCTGAAGTACATATTTGCAGTTGCTTGCAGATTATCACCAAAACCTGTGATTTTGGTGTGATAAGTCAGGATATCTGTATTTCTATCAGAAACCATTTTAATATCTGAATTTCCTGCATTTTGTTATGTATTTTTTAATGAGGAATTGAGCTTTTATTTTGTAGCATTGTTTGTAGGACTGCAATGAAAGCACTGCCTTTCAGAAACTCAGGGTTATTACCCTATGTACAAAATATTTCTGACATTTCCAGTTATGTGAGGAATCTTGGGGGTATCTGACAAAGCTGGAAGGGGACCACGAGCTGAGGCTAATCTGAGAATTCTTCCTTTTTTGGAGAAGTTACATTTCGTGGCTGACTGGAGGTTAAAAGCCAACTTCTTGCCTTCCCTTTAAGGAAACCTGAAATTTTATTCATTTGTTTTTGCAAATCGAGCACGTGTACCTACAGAACCCATCACGTGGGCTTTTTGATAACAAAATTAACAAAATGAGCTGATTTTTAATAATTTCCTGTTTTGAAAGAGTGTAGCTTGGTGTTAAGAGCCTGGATTTAAGCGTTCTTTAGGGTAAAATACAATTTCTAATAGGAAGTTGCATGCGGAGTTCTTTGGACATTTCAGCTCCTGCTCACGCTTCCCATGTGAGGTATTCCATGAGCTTGAGTTCCTGGGGAAGGCAAATGTGTCCCCAGGGCAGGCAGTGTGGGGGAGCCTGGCCTCAGGATCAGTTTGAGCAGCAGCTCAGGTTTATCCCTGGCTGTGGATGTTTGCTTTGAGCAGAAGGGAAATGTCCATTTTTTTCATCATTGTGTGATGTCTGTTCTGTTGCGTGGTTTTGGTGCGTTGTCACTGCTCATATTGCTTGCAAAAAAAAAACAACAAAAACAAAAAGCTGTGGTCTGTGAAATGGAGATCTGAGAACTGTTTTTCAAGTTTTTCTTTATGCTTTTCAAGAATCTGTGTATTTGGCACAAAACGTTGTTTTGCAGCATGTTTTTACTCTTGTGGGAGAGCTGAGATGTGAGCGGCTCTCTGGTCACCTAACAGCCTTCATGCAGTGCCCTCCACCACCACAGCTTTGTCTTGGGAAGCTGGCAGACTTTGTGTTTCCTATTAATGGAGAACATCTGTGGAGCTACACAGCTGGGAAGGACTTGGGAACTGTAACTCCTACCAGGTGCCCCTGGTTACTAGCAGCAGCTGGAGCCCTACCTGTTGTGGCAGTGTGACAGTTTAGGTGTGCTGGGGTTGTTTGCACTGTTGCTTTCCTCCTGTACTTTTCAGTGCAGACTCTTTGGTCTCTGTTTTTACCAGACTGGGCAAATCTGGCTCTTCTTCCAGCCGTTCTTCTTAGCTCTTCCTTCTACTGAACCAACAAGGACCACTCTGTTCCATGCTAAGCATTCCTTACAGCCTTATGCTTGAGCTGTCTGCCTTTTAAATGCTTTTGCGTTTGAAGTCCTGGAAAATTCCTCCCCAGAAGCACCTGTATCAGAGCCTATAGATCCCACCCATCATCCAAAAGGAGCAGACTGCTTTGCACACCACTTTGGGGCTGCCTGGATTAAGAAGCAGGCCCTGAGCAGGTGAAACTTCAAAACCAGCTCTCTAGTTCTCATCCCTCGTTGGAAACAGTGCAAACTTCATGTTTTCATGAGCAAGGCACCATCCACGCAGTGGAGGGCACCCACAGTCACAACGCAGTGGCATTGCTTTGGTGGATGGATGTGCAGCTCTGCCCTGGCACATCACACAGTGCCTGAATACTTCGTTAACACGGCACTGCTAATAACTGGGATTCCTGCAGGTTTGACACACAGCCCTCCGAGGCTGGCGTTATTTCAGCACTGAGCAAACTTCACTTTGGGAAGCAGAGCACAGCGTGGCAGAGCTTTGCTGCTTATGTCCAGCCGGCAGCACTGGTTGACAGAAGGAGCTTAACACTGCTGGAACAACGCCGCTCCCGGCGAAAAGGACGGACGACGCCGTATCTCTACGTAGCGCTCGTAACGCGGCTCGTGAGCTCCGGTCGCGGTTGAGTCCCGAGCGCTGAACGGGTCGGGCTCCAGCTGCCGGCACCGCGCCGTGACAGCCGTCAGCTCTGCACTCACGCATCGGGAACGAATAATAAACCGGCTCGCTGTGGTCGGCGCTCTTTCCTACGCCGTTAAGGCCGAGCCGTTGGATCGCCGCGGTGCCGGCGACGGGGCGCGGATCCGAACGGCGACCACCGGGAACGGCTCCGCACCGCCGCGCAGTGCGCGTGACGTCATCAGCCGGCGGCGGAAGTGACGCTTTGTGCGGCGCTGCCCGTCGGTGTCCGGTCGCGGCGGCGGTGAGCGGGCCGGCGGGGCGCGGTGCGGGGCGGGGGGAGGCCGGGGCCGGGCGGCGGTGCGGGGCCGCGGGCGTCGGGTTGAGGCGGGGCCGGACGGGGCGCTGCGGGGGGATCCGTGTGCGATCCGTGTGCGGGGAAGGAGTTGGTGCGGCGCGTTGATTAAAGCAGGAAGCGCCGCGTTTCCGTAACGTCTCGTTCTTTTTTTTCTTTTTCTTTTCTTTTTTTTTTCCTTTTTTTTTTTTTTCCAGAGCTTTTTTTTTTTTTTTTTTTTTTTTTTAATGGTTTTTGGAACTCCAATGGGTGATGAAAAGGATTCTTGGAAAGTGAAAACCTTGGATGAAATCCTTCAGGAAAAGAAACGAAGGAAGGAGCAAGAAGAGAAAGCAGAGATAAAGCGCATGAAAAACGTGAGTGCCAGACTGGGGCGGCGCTGCTCAGTGCTGCCGTGCCTGAACGAGCGTGGTTTGGTTTACCTGCCCTTTGTGTGTTCCTGTCCCAGTCGGATGATAGGGATTCAAAGCGGGATTCTCTTGAAGAGGGGGAGCTGAGAGATCACCGCATGGAGATCACGATCCGCAATTCACCGTACCGCAGGGAGGACTCCATGGAGGACAGGTACTGCCTGCGGTGCGATGCTCCCTGAGTGCACCTGGGGGTTAAAAACCCTGTGCTGAGTGCTCTGAAGCACTACAGGGGAAAGCAGAACTTTCTGAGATGTTTGAGGTTCCCTCCTGGCTGTGCCAAGTGCCAGGAGGCTCTTGGTTCAGGCATAACAGTGCATTCTGAGCCCGTTTTGGCCACTGCACAGTAACACGATGTTTTGGTTAAGGTACTGGTTTAGCACCCGACTCGGTGATGTTTGTAGTATAGCCTTAATGCTTTAGTTCAGGGGTATTGTGGAAAATAGGAAAATGAGTGTTGGGTTTTTGTTTTTTTTTTCAAAAGGGATAAAAGAGAAAGTAGTGTTCAGTCTGTTAAATCATAGAATCACAAGGTTGGAAGCAACCTGTAAGATCGTCTAGTGCAAAACCATCCTCCCATCAGCACAGCTACCACAAGCACTAAACCACATCTTGCAGCTCCTCATCCAGGCTCCTCTTGAACACTACCAGGGACAGTGACTCTCCACCTCCCTGTGCAGCCATTCCAGTGCCTGACCACTCAGAGAGAAAGCATTCTTCCTTATGTCTAATCTAAACCTCCTCTAGTTCACCTTGCGGCCGTTTCCTCGGGTCCTGTTTGTTGCCTGGGAGAAGAGGCCGGTGCATTTAACCTCCCTGAGCTTATCAGTTTGTGTCTTTATTGTAGAGGAGAAGAAGATGATTCCTTGGCTATAAAACCACCACAGCAAATGTCACGGAAAGAAAAAACCCACCATAGAAAAGATGAGAAGAGGAAAGAGAAACGGAGACACCGCAGTCATTCAGCAGAAGGTGGTGTTACACCTTGTTCACACTTCCGGTAGCTTCTCAAGGTTGCACTGAATGGGCACTGTATAGAGAGGAAATAAGAATTGCAGACCAGAGAAAACATATCAGATGGATATGATAAAATAAGTGAAATTTGCTTTCTTTTTTTTTCCTCTTTAATTGTGTCCAGTGCCCCTTTAAGAGCGATAGATGCTTGAGAGGACGGCAGCCTCTCTGGGACAGGGACACAGAGTTTGCTTTTACTCTTGCAACTCTGTGATGCTTCACTGCAGCCTCACAGAGTCAGGGAGATGAGCTGTGGTATTTGTAGCTGAACGGAAAAGAACAAATACCATTTCCATGTAACTAAGAGAGCACAAAGTTTAGAAACATCCGCTTTGTCTTCCTGTTACTTGCAATCTTCTTTCCGATTTAACACAAGTGTTTGAGCTCTTACAATTACTTGTTTAATGCCCTTTCAGATCAGGATGTTTCCATCAAGGAAAGAACAGAGAGCATAGGAATATGCTGTCATAGGTGTTGTCCTTTCTACTTATTTGAAAATAGGAGTGCAAAATATTTTGAATGGTAACTCTGCAGAATTCATTTTTGCCTGTTCAGGGAAACATGCCAGAGTGAAGGAGAAAGAACGGGAGCACGAGCGTAGGAAGAGGCATAGAGAAGAGCAGGATAAGGCCCGACGAGAGTGGGAAAGGCAGAAACGGAGAGAAATGGCGAGGGAGCATTCCAGGAGGGAGAGGTACATCGTTCTCTGCAACGAAATTGAATTGCCCTGTACTCAGCTACAGAAAAACAGTTCTCTTCTACTTTGTAAGTTAAGTTTGTACTGAACTGCAGCTTAACAAAAAATAACCAATTATTTTCTAGAGATCGCCTGGAGCAACTTGAGAGAGAACGAGAGAGAAAAATCAGAGAGCAGCAGAAAGAACAAAGGGAGCAAAAAGAGCGTGAAAGGAGAGCTGAAGAAAGGCGTAAGGAGCGGGAAGCCAGAAGAGAAGGTGATTATTGGTGTCTAAAAGATGTTTGGATTTGCCATCTGCCGCAGTGGTGGAATTGGGGGTAGAGAAAGCTTTTTCACTTAGGTCAATGCCAGAACTTATAAAAATAATAAAATGGGGTGGGATGTCTATCTGGGAAAGAAATCTTTGAAGTTCTACACAGGGAAATAAAACAACGTCGGATGCCGGGAGTGTGCTGGCTTTTGGGCTGGTCGGTAAGTCTTTGTTTGCCTGGCTTCCTTCAGAAACAAGATCTGTGTCATCGCTGTAGTCTTTGTGTGTGTATGTTTGTCATGAATGCAGTTGCACTCCTTGGCTGAGTCTAAGCCAGTCTGGTAGAGACTGAAGTCTCAACATAAGCGTAGTAAAGTTCTGGGAAATAAGTGGCATGGGGATGGGGATAGATGGTGTGAGTCCTCCAGCTGTGGATAAGGCCGATCTCTTGCCATCTGGGTTCAGATCATTGTTGTTTAAAGGACTTCTGTTTGTTCTGGCTGTCAGAGGTAAAAATCAGACCCAGCATCTGTGCTCAATTACAAAGATTGCTCGAGGGTAGCAGAAGTCATTGTACTTGTTGCTGTTCTTTCTAGTTCTAGTTATGCTGAACTGCTCCTTTTTGTGCTTGATATTTACACTGGTTTTGGTCTCAATTAATCTAGCCTTCTGTTTTAGCTCTTTATTGCTCTGAATGTTCTGTCAGCTTCTTCTAACCCTTAGCTGTTTTTACTTCTTCGTGCATCTCCCTGGTTTGTCCACTTCTCTCTTGCCTTAACACTGTAGGTTTGGGTTGTGTGCTGTGTGTAGCACAGGGGGCATCTTGCATCTGCTTGCTAAGTATGGCAGCACCTTCCTGCCATACTGTTTGGTCCAAACCCACATAGCATTGCTATGAGGGAAATCACAGTCCTTTGCTCTCCTAGACGCAGTTAGGTTCTGCTTTCGCCCCTCCCCATTACCATTTGTTCTGTAAGGAAAAAGGAAAAAATATGCAGAGCAGGTGGTTGTGGTAGACTGAAGTATTCTAATTAGGGCAGGGACATTTAACGATTTTTGTTTTGGTTTTGTTTTCACTAGTTTCTGCACACCATAGAACAGTGAGGGAAGAATATGGAGACAAAGTGAAAATGAGACCCTGGAGTCGCAGCCCATTACGACAGCAGAGAGACAAGCCTGAGCAAGCAGATAGCAGGAAACCAGGTAGCATTTGCCACCTCAGTGTCTTTGCCTGGGGGCTAGCAGCTGTTCTGGGGTAGAGTTGAATTTTTAGTATTAAACGTTTACATCCCTGGAACCATACAGAAAGTGTTGTCTGCTTCAGCTGTGGTGGCATAATTCTGGAATTGTTGAGAAGGGTGGCACATGCACTGTTACTAAAGCAATTGCTGGTTTTATTCCTTTGCAGATTGAAAAGGGATTGTTTGTACTAACTCCAGTTGGATTTGTTCTTAGGAAATAAGTTACCTTAAGGGCCACCTTACAGGGAACTATCTAGTTTAAGTGTCACTAATTGCTGTACTGTAGAAGAAGAGCAGTGCTTAAGGCAGTGTTCCAATTAGTGAGTTTTGTTTTCTAAGGTAGAAAATGGTCCTTTCTGTACAAAGAAGGTCCCAACTGTGGTGGAGAGCCTGCACAATTGGCATAAAAATGTCATTGGTTAAAGAAGAAAAGCTCTGTGTCTGCTTTGTTAAAGTGTGTAGCTGTGAAAATTGTTGTAATGCGCAGTGCAATCAGCTGAGATTCCAGGCAGAGGCAGGCAGTGATCCTTTGGCCTTATGGTCTGATCAATCCACATTTATTTGCACATGCTGTTTCACAATGATGGACTGCAGTAGAAACACTGATTGCAAGCGCTGTGTGAGTGTACATTAGTGGGACTCTGTGTTGTGGTCATGTTTGTTATCATGTTACACTTGTCTTTTTTAATACATTTCTTGCAGAGAGGTGTGGGCACATGTCATGTTTTAAATTAAAAAGCCAGCATTGCACATGTTTGGCTGTTGATCTGGTATCACTGCAGTTCAGGGAAACTGTTTGGCTTTTGAGCACACTGTGAAATGTTATGGTTGCTCAGAGTATATATATGCATATGAGCATTCAGCACCTATTTAATAGCTAGAGAATGTAGATATCTGGGTATTCAGGCTTAAAAATAAAAATGAAATTCAGTTGGCACCTTGGTTTTGATTCTTATGGTCTCAACAGTGAAAGAAGAAAAACCAGAGGAAAGAGACCCTCTTTCAGACTTGCAAGACATCAGTGACAGTGAGAGAAAAACAAGCTCAGCTGAGTCTTCATCAGGTAATTCAATGCATTTAGCAGATTGTACAGATGTCTGTTGAGGAAACACTGTTATTAGATAGCAGATGTCATTGATCTCGTTCCACGTGTTACTGTTCCTCAGCGGAGTCTGGGTCAGGCTCAGAAGAAGAGGAAGAAGAGTCGAGCAGTGAAGGATCTGAGGAAGAGGGAGAAGAAGAGGAGGAGGAGGAGGAGGAGACAGGCAGCAATTCTGAGGAGGTGTCAGAGCAGTCAGCAGGTGAGTAACAGAACACAGGTCCCAGCGTGGGCCGGTGGGGTCTTCTGGCTTTACTTTATTTCTCATTCTGTGTTGTTTTATTTGAATGTTTTCCTTTTCTCTTAGTCTAGGATAGGCTGAGACCTCACAGGTCAAGATAACTATAAAGAAAAAAACAAGTACAAGTCATATTCTATCCTTTTATATAGAGGTAATACCAATTATTTGTCTAAGACGCCGGATTAGAAAACTGAAAGCCATGTTTGTCTTCATAAGTAGTGTAACACTAACAGTTTAAATATTCCTGTGTTGCACAGTAACAAGTACTCTGTAGAGAGCACTCTGCGTGGGGGTGGTGAAATACAAATCTCTCTGCTATTTTGAATAGTTTCAGTTGCAAATACCAGATTTTTTTTATCACGCTTGTTACAAATATTTGAACAAATCATACTTCTAAAAAAGGGTTAGTTAAAAATTCTCAGAGCCATTCTTACAATTATTTAGTAAAGGAAAAGTCACAACAGGCTGCTCTGGCTGGGTGTATTTCTTTAAAATGAAGCAGAATGACCAAGCACAAAACATTCAGTGGTCTCCCAACTGGTGCTGTTGAGTTTGAAGAAGCTTTTGTTTTCCAAACGAAGCAGCAGATGTGATGTCACTAAACTGGACAGTGGTGCAGAAGGCATGATGAATGAGGAAAGTGGATAGTGGTCTGCATTGCAAGGAACTACAGAAGGGTTGAGTTGATTCAGCTGAACTTGATTCTGTCTTGCAGAAGAGGTGAGCGAAGAAGAAATGAGTGAAGAGGAAGAACGAGAGAATGGAAACCACATCCCAGTTGGTACAATGCAAATACTGAATATATCAATTGACTCTGTTTTTCAGTCAGATCTAGTTCTGAAAGTATTTTAAATCTGTTTAAAATCGATTTGTTGGTGCAGTTTCGCCATGGTTGTGAGGCACCGTGCATTTTAGAGCTGTTATGTCAGAATCAGAACTCTGTTCCAGGGTCTGTATGTAGGAATGAGATCCCAGTCTAATGAGACTTACTAGGTCCCTTCTTTTTTTATTCTCTTAGTGTAAAGACTTATTTTTCTGACATGCTGTGTTCATTTGAAAATTGTGTGTGCCTGACATTAACCTGGGGTTTTCATCTCCACCAAGAGGAGAAATCAGGCTTTTCATTGGTCTTCAAGTTGCATATCTTCTATCTCATAGCGATGTTTTTCACTTCCCTATTTGTCCAGTGCTGAACTTAACTCTGTTCCAAAGGACTCCCTCTTTCCATGTCTGATTCTGACTTTTAAAGTTACAGAGTCGAGGTTTGATCGCGATTCAGCAGGCAGTGAGGTTGAGGAAGAAGAGGTGGGGGAGGGCAGCCCTCAGTCCAACGCCATGACGGAAGGAGACTATGTTCCTGACTCACCTGCTTCTTCCCCTATTGAACTGAAACAGGAGCTTCCTAAATATCTTCCTGCCCTTCAGGTAGGGGATCACTTGAAGGATGCTTGGAAGTGTTCCCTGCAAATGGGTTTCATTAAAATGGGAAACGTGTTTGCAGTAGCATTTATGCGTGAGTTGATGGGCTGAATGTGTCTTGTTGACTCATTACTGCTCACACTTGTGTGTGAAATATGTACTTCTCTTGGTTAGTTGTAACTAAACCTGTGAAGTAGGTTTTTCTTAAGTCTTGTTAAACAAACGATTGCAGTGCTCCTGCAGGCGTTGAGGAGTGAATGTTCTCACTGTTTTCTCAGGGGTGTCGCAGTGTGGAGGAGTTTCAGTGCTTGAACAGGATTGAAGAGGGAACATACGGCGTGGTGTACAGAGCAAAAGACAAAAAGACTGGTTCGTATTATCTGCATGGCATTAAATAAGTATTATGTCCTAAATGGCATCTAGTGTGAGAAACGTCTCGCTGAGGATCTGTGTTACTGTGACAGCTATTGTTGCTCATGGGGATTGGTTGAATTTTGGAAGCTGTGATTTGGTAAACTTTCTTATTTGCATGTTCTGGAAACGGCAGAATCAGCCCTCTGCAGTACTGCCCTAATTATTTTGCTGTGTGGAAGCAGTTATGTTCAGGTGGTGTGCATGCATGTGGCATCTGGTGTGTTGTGCACTTCTGCAGACTATTCTGTTGCTTTACAAATTCCAACAAACGTCTTAGTAACTTCACAGGAAATGCAGAAGGAGGTCTGGGGTAGAGTGAGAAGTACAGCTTGGGGTTCTCGTCACACAGGTTGCATTTTAAGTACAAAACTGATGTCTGTTCTGTATCAGCCTTCTTCTGCCTTAACAAAGGGGAAAGCTGAAATAATTTTTCTTCTAGCCAGTTTCTGCTTTTGTCACATGTATAGGTTCAGATCTGCAGTTGTATGCAAATTGTGGTTCTGCATCTCACACTAATGGACAGAATCTCTAAAATGCTTTGTTCCTTTTCAGGAATAATGTCTGCTATTTAATAGGATATGGATTTTGACATAAGCGTTTTGCTCGCAGCTGTTTGAGTTCAGAATTAATTTCTGTATTGGTCATGACACTGTAGAACTGCTTAACTTGATTTCAGTTGCTGGTCCATTAGGCAATTATTTCTGGTTTGTGCTTTGCTGCAGCTAACGTGGATTGGTCGGTTGGTTTGAAGTGTGTGCCACTAGGTGCCCCTCTAAGCACAGCCACTGGTGAGAGAATTCATAGAAGCAGTGTTTGTGTGCCATGAGGGCATGCAGCACTACGTTGCTGTGGAAGAAATGTCATATACACAAGTGGATTCATATTTTTATCTGGTCTGTAATGATACGTGTCTTGTGGAAGTGACTGCATTTCCTAGAAGGAGTGCAGGAGCCAACAGCGGGTCTCTCGTTGTCCATGCTCAAGTGGAAGAAATACTTGGTTGGATGCTGTAGCAGAAATGGTGACAGTAATGCAGCTTTCCTGGTCCCTTGGAAAAAAATAATGTGAGATACAATCTGTTCTTTTGGCTGTGACCTCAGTTTCCCCCCCAGTGTTACAGTCCAGCAGGCTGGTCGCTGCAACAGGGAGCGGAGGCACAGTAAATTAAATATCTGCAATTTTAAATAGAGGTGGCAGATGGTGAGGAGAGCCTGTGACAAGAACTGTGTTCCAGAGCAGACTTGGACAGTAACAGTGGTTATTCTCAGGTCCAGCTGACAAGCTGTGATGTTGGCAGTGGGGTTAAATTCTGGTTCTCTCTGTTTCTGTTTGTTTTAGAATTACGTGACCTTTTGATCTCCTCTGGGGTGGTTTTTCTGACATCACTCACTTACTGGATAACTGCCATCAGCTCCTTTTTCTCTTCTGCATCTTCCTTGAGGCCCGCCCTGAGGCTGACATGGCCATTACAGTAACATGCAGAAGCAGATGCATTGAAATAAATGGCTTGGGTAACGCTTTGAGTAGCACTTGGGGTTTCAGTTGGGTCTTTAAGGAAAGGTGAAGTGTGTGTGAGACATTTCCATCCCATCTCCCAAACTCAGGGGAGGAAATCAGTGTTGAATAAGCTTTATCTGTAGTGTCTTTCCAGGTGAGTTATGTTAGGATACACTAAAACCCCTGATGCAGTTTTTGAATTGTTACTGTGGGTTTTCTTATCTTTCCTTAAACTTGGCAATATTTTTTTGGTCTGCTTTGGTTTTCACTCTGTTAACGCAGACTGATTCTGCTGATGTCTCAAGTAATGGTTTTCATTCAGATACATCAAAGTAGTAGGAGTACACTGGGAGACCTCTTGGCATGTATTTTATTAGCTGTGTGATGGGCTAAAAATTCTCTTTTCCTTGCAGATGAAATCGTGGCTCTGAAGCGACTGAAGATGGAGAAGGAAAAGGAAGGCTTCCCCATTACTTCTCTCAGAGAAATAAATACTATTCTGAAAGCACAGCACCTAAATATCGTCACTGTCAGAGTAAGACCAGCAACCTTCCATTTCCAAAGATTTTTGTTCCTGAAATGTTGCCTCTTGGCTTTTAAAATGCCTTGTAAAAACATCAGCATTCCTAGCAGAGCTTGTTAATATACCACCCATAAAATAAACAGGCGGTGTTTGTCTCTAAAAATTGGATGTTTTGCAAAAATAAGCTGTGTTTTGATCACTTGTTTTTGTGTTTTAGGAAATCGTTGTAGGTAGTAATATGGATAAAATCTATATTGTTATGAACTACGTAGAACATGATCTCAAGAGTCTGATGGAAACAATGAAGCAACCATTTCTACCAGGTACTGTTTGCCACAGTCTCCCCTACTTGTCTGAAATGGAAAACTGACCTAGAAAGACCCCATTCCCTTTGGGCTGCACTGACATCAGTGGACTGGCTTGTATGATGACGTGCATTGCCTTGGAATGTCCTCTGAGTGTTCTTTGGAAGGGAGACGACTGCTTTCTCTCTGTCCAATTTGATTCTACTGATAGAGGTTAAGAGAGGAAGGTCAGCTGGCAGTGCTGGTACGTACAGTGATGATAGGCTGATGAATCCAGCTGGCATGCTCAGGGTGAGACTGAGGTTCAGATGTGAAATGGAGAGGGGAGTTTTCCCTGTGAACACTGCGTTTTATTTTTGGCCAGTTCCTATGTTGAGAAGCATTAATTTCTGAGCGTTATTTGGGTGCATTCCAGCTATCCAGATTCATTTTACTATGCTGGCAGCTCTTTGGATCTGTTTTTGTTCTGTGACACATTTTTACACCATACTCCTTAGTGTGTTTTTAACTTGACATCTCATTCTTTCCCCCCCAGTTCCGTCCTTGTTCTCTAATTAGAAATAACAACAGCTGAAGGCAGATTTCTTACTTTAAATGTATTTGGCTTTTTTTTTTAATCGCTTCAGGTGAAGTGAAAACCTTGATGATCCAGTTACTACGAGGAGTCAAGCATCTTCATGACAACTGGATTCTTCACCGGGACTTGAAAACTTCCAACCTGCTGCTCAGTCATTCAGGAATTTTGAAAGTAAGAACTATGTGACACACAGCACGCTTATGAGAAATTTAGTATTGCAGTTACACTGCATGACAGTGATGTTAAGAGCTGGGCAGAATGTTCTGCATTAATCTTGAAGTGCATGAAGTTCCTCAAACATACAGTCGTAAGACAGTGAACGTTGTAATAGATGGAGACTGCCTTGCCACAGCTCTTGAGATTTATACTAGAATGTGACTAATAAGCATGGTCTGTGAGTGCTGAATTCCTTATGGCACAATTGGAAGGCAGAACGGTGTTCTCTTCCTACTGATGCATGACAGTGCCATTAACCTTGTCTGTATCAACGTCTGTGTGGCTGTTTTTTGAATGCCAGAGGCCAGCAGTAGCCAGAATGGCCAGCATGTACTGGTGCTGTCCATAGGTTTGCTCAATGCTGATAACATTACTGATAACTGATTTTCATCCAGGTTGGAGATTTTGGATTGGCCCGAGAATATGGATCTCCTCTGAAGCCTTACACACCAGTGGTGGTGACACTTTGGTACAGGGCTCCGGAGTTGTTGCTTGGAGCCAAGGTATGCCTCTCTATTCTTCTGGGAGCTAAAGGATTGACTTTTCAGACTAACTTCATCTTATAATTCATGAACAATTCATAGAAGTGTGCTTGATTCTTTATGCTGATTTAGCAGTGGAAATTCTGAAACTTCAATTTTAGTTTTCCCAATAACAAATCTAAAAAGGTTTCGTCTTCCTCAGAGGATGGATGGGTGGGTCTAAAATTTCTGACAAAAAGAGCAGAACAGAGGACTGTGAACCTTCTGTCAATGTTCCCTTCTGGTCACCTGTTCTGTCACTGAAATCACTGGGCTTCTGGGAGTTCCATTGCCAAGAACCACACAAAAAAATCCCCAAAACATTGCACTATCGCTACAATACCTCCTTAAATTATTTCACTGGCTTTATATTCTTTCTTTGCAGGAATATTCAACAGCGATAGACATGTGGTCAGTGGGGTGCATCTTTGGAGAACTCCTGACTCAGAAACCGCTGTTTCCAGGGAAGTCAGAAATTGATCAGATTAACAAAGTTTTTAAGGTAACATTTATAAAACCTTTCCATTCTAACTGGCTGGTTTTAGAGGCAGTTAAATTACAGCAGTAAGAAAATAGAAATGCTTGTTACTCTTTGATAGATATTCAACCTTAATAAAAGGCTCACTACTTTGATTTTCTGTTTTACATTATCAATGATAGGCTAAAATAATGTATTGTATATTGTCTGTTTTCTCTGGATTTCTATCAATTCCTGTAGCTAAATAATGAATAAGCAGAAGGGCTGCACTCTAGAATGGGTTTATTAAGGAGACATTTTAATCTATAGGATCTGGGTACTCCAAGTGAAAAAATCTGGCCTGGTTACAATGAGCTGCCAGCTGTAAAGAAGATGACGTTCACAGAATATCCCTACAACAATCTACGCAAGAGATTTGGAGCACTCCTCTCTGATCAGGGCTTTGATCTGATGAACAAGTAAGTGCCAGCTCCTGCAGTCCTTGGGAAATTGTGTTGTTTGTTACACTTGTTGTAAAACATGACTGATTTCTGAAGATTTTATATCTTTTAGGCTAACGTTTTTCTTCTTTCTGCACGGCCGTCTCTCTTATCTTCCCTCTAATTCATTGTCTGCCTGAATTCTTTTCAGCTTTTTGACGTACTACCCGGCCAGAAGAATTACTGCTGAGGATGGTTTGAAGCACGAGTATTTCCGTGAGACTCCCCTTCCTATTGACCCCTCCATGTTTCCTACATGGCCGGCCAAAAGTGAACAACAAAGGGTGAAACGTGGCACCAGCCCCCGCCCGCCCGAGGGAGGCCTTGGGTACAGTCAGTTGGTGAGCATCACTGACTTCCCCTGTCCTAAAACAAAGCCAAACCTGCTCCTTTTCCAGTGTTTGGAAAAGAATCTGTCACATACGAGGCTGGTGTTCTTTCATGTGTGGGAATTGGACTGCCAGTTTTGAAGAAAAAGCTGGCCGAAAAACAGCCGCTTAGAAGTAGGACGTGGTACAATCTCAAGTGCCTTAATTATTATCAGCTCTTTATTGACAGTTCCATGTCTCAGCATAGGTGAATTGACACTGCACAGCTATTGTGCCTGCTGCAGTACCAACAGAAAGAGCACGAATAACAGTCTGCACTGAACTCAGCTACAGTGCCACTAAATCAAGTCTTTACTTACCATCTCCTACAGCTCCTTCATGTTTTGTTTTGTTCTTTGTTTCTACTTTTTTAAAATCAGTTTTAGGCATGATTTCTGTGTTGCAGAGGTGAATGTGTGTGCACAGGCACTGACAGATGAACTGTGTATGTTTTCCACAGGGCGACGATGATCTGAAAGACACCGGTTTTCATCTGACCACCACGAATCAAGGAGCATCTGCTGCTGGGCCCGGGTTCAGCCTCAAGTTTTAAACTCAGTGAGAAGAGGGGGAAAAAAAGAGAACCGTTCACGTGAGTGGATTTCTGAGTGCCCCAGTTCTGTTCTTCACATCAGGGAAACTAGATGGTTTTCACCGGGGTAAAGTCAGATGTCATCCCAGATTCAAAGACTTTCTCTGGGTGTGGAGTTTAACTGCTGCATTCCATTAGAGGACTGGAATTAACAGGAAAAGCCAAGGATCGTTATAAAATTTGACAGAGGAAAACTTGAAGTACAATCCTTGATCCCCTTTTTTTTCTTTTTTTTTTGGTTCTTTTCTCCTTGTAAATTTGTAGAATTAAAATGCATTTTTGATTGTTTAACAGCGTGAAGGATGTCATTTCCTCACATGCAGCAAACGTGGATGTTGGTGGCATTAAGTCTTCTAGAGTGGAAATGTGAGGATTTATTTTTTTGTTTAATTTCTCTTTCCTCCCCCCATCTGTGCTGATGTTGTTGTAGTTGCTGTCAGTCCAGCAAAAGAACTTTCCTTTTTTTTTTAAGTAAGTTCTTTGTGTCTGAGTGTAGTTGCTTGGTCAAGAAATCATATTGTTTAAGTTGCTTCTCTCCTGTTGTGTACCTTGGAGAAAGCTAAGCTGGGTGGGGCTCAACACCCACTGACATTTTTGAGTGAACTACTGGGTTGATGTGTTGTATAAATGTATTTACAATGGCACTGGAGCAAAAAGTGTACTATATTGTTTTATAATTCAAAAAAAATTAATATTGAAGCTTTATTTTCTAGAGAACCTTCTTTTAAAAATGTCCTTTTTCCACAAAAATAACAACATTTCATTTTACTGGTTGTAAATTGCCCTATTCCAGTCTTTCCTCATAAGTGTCTTCTGAGTCTCTGATTTACAATGCTATCATCCTTTTCTGGGAACAGGAAGATTTGGAAAATACTGGGGTGTTCATGCAGTCAGAACTGGGCACCAGTCCCACTAACAGGCGTAGTGATGAGCATCCACTGCATTGGAAGAGACTTGTGGTGGTGGTGCTGGTTTTGTTTTCATTGAGTGAAGGCCTTGGACCTGCTCTTGGGAGCTACCAGAATTGTACATTTTCAGAGCTGGTTTTTTTGTGTGTGTGTTGATGAAGCACTGTTTTCTCATTAGGCCTGGTTGTGGTGCTCTGATGGAGAAACAGTTTTTCTGCTGGTTTACTAACCGTAGCAACGCATGGTTTTAGCAAAGTTTGGGTAGGGGTGAAGATCAGAAGCTTATTTATTTGTACTGAAGGATGTGAGAAGTGAAAAGTGGACAAAAAAGCTGAAATACTAATGATAGATATTTACTGGAACAGGTGCATCATTGCCCGTTGGAAAGCATTTGTTCCAACCTGGGCTAACAAATCTGGACCTCTGAATCTAATAGGAGTTATTTGCTTTTAATCAAACAACAAGTTATGCAAAGGCAAGTAAAGTGAAAACATTTCCAGGACTGTTTCACCAGGAACAGCACTATGGAACTCAATTACTTTGAAATTGTGTCATCTTAAATAACTGATTTCAACCAGGGAAAATCTGCAAAGATTCATCTTTTAAACAACATGGAGGTTCCAGTGCATAAGTGTGTGGTAATCACAGCCTTGTTGTAGGTTAGGGATTTATTTTGTTGTTGGCTTACTGCAATTTTTATTTTTATAAAATGAAAGTGTATGCCAAGAGAAAGTGAGTTTTGTTGCTTACCTTGAGGGTATCACCATATCTGTCAGGTGTTTTCCATACTAATTTCCAGCAAATGGAAGCTGTCATGCCGTGGTCCTGGGCAGGAGATGGAGAGGTTTTTTTTGGTTGGCTTCTTTACAGAAATTCCTCTTTCTCTTTTTTTTTTTTCCTGAGTTCCTTGAAGATGTTGTTGGTTTGAAATTGCAGCCAGAACAGATGTGCACAGCAGTGCTGGGCCGTGCCATCTGTGTCATGGAACACTGGGTGCAGTGCAGAGCTGTCTCATGGCCTGCTGTCTTAAACTGTGACTTTTTTCCTTGGTTTCTTTTTCCACTGGCCTTGAGGTCAGCTCAGTTTTGGAAGGTGACTCCTTACAGGACATTCGTGGGGCAAAGCAGGTCCTTAGCTGCATCTCCAGCAAGGACAGTGCCTGCCACAAGCACAGGTGGAGGTAAACAGGATTTGGAGAAACAGCACAAAAGTCAGTTATCATAAATGGTATGTATACAAAACTGTTAAGTTGTGAAATGAAGAACTTTGGATCTGCCCTAGGATTGAGCATCCTTGCAGTTGAAGTGCTGACATCCCCTTGTGAGAGCTATTGAAGGCTCAGCTCACTGTTCTTGTTTCGTTTCTCCAAATCCAAAAGACAGAGCTGTTTTAAGATGCTTGGATCCACGTGGTGTTGCACTGCTCTGTTAAATGGAGATGTGCTAAGTTCATGCTAGATATCTGCCAGTAAAATTACTGTTATTGCAATTGTACCAAACTGTTCTTATTAGTTTCTTACTTTTCCCTTGTGCTTTTGCTGTCCTGGTACAGAGCTCCTCCTAGAATGCTGACCTATTCTGCAATACATGAGATGCTTAAGGTAGGAAGAAACGTGTTTGAAGAGATTAAGACAGCAACTAAAAATGGACGAACCTAAGCAGAGAATGATGTAGGCTGCCTTAATACTGGATAAGGATCTTTCAGGTACCCATTAAATACAATGACTGTCAGGGTTTGTAACTGCACATCTGAATTCCCAGCTGATAGATGTTTGAGTGCACTGGGCTTTGCCCAGGAAACAAATGCTGCTTCTCTTCTGGATGTGGTGCATCCACCTCGCCTGTTAATGACTGGGTGTGATGATGGAAATGATCTTACCTCTGTTGAAGGGGTCAAGAAGCTTACTGATCAGACACCAAAAGGATGAGTTATGAGGAGCTGCAGATGGAAGTAGATAGTATGCTGGGCTAAGATTACACAGACAATAAATACACACCACAGGAAAGTAGTTGGGGGGTGGAAGGGAGATATTCTGTGCATAGCTGAACTGAGTATGTCAAAGTGTGAAATGGAGTAATTTGGGTTTGTTGTGACCCTATATTTTCCTTCTGCCCACTAGAAGAAAAAGTAATTCTTTTTTTAACGTTCTTATACACCTACATGTCGTGATATAAAAAAGATAAAAAACCACTTACAGCGCATTTACTGGTCATTCTCTTTCCACAATACCTCTGATTCCATTGCAACATAGCTGAGCCATCAGTCTGTTCATCCATGTGTTTGCTGAAGGGTTATGTTCTCGTTTTTCAGCAGTCCACTGATCCAGGTTAACTGCAAAATCTTACACTTGATTTTTTTTTTTAAATTTCTTTTTTAATTCTCTGTACAACACATGCTTGATGAATTCTTTACCTTTAAAACTAATTTGGAAGAGTTGTTTTATCCAGTAACAAAGTCCCAGAGTCTCTCTTGCTCGAGGTATTGAAGCAGCTGATTTAGGAGTTCATTTGCACTACTGGCGTTTAAATACAAAATGCTTAAGCCAGATTGTGAATTTGAAATAGAGAAGCTCTCATGCCAGAGCCCTTGTTAATGTCTCAGTCTGATCCTCCAGGAATAAGTGGTCAAGATTCTTTCTTTTTTCTTTACTATACAAGTGTAAGTTCCTTCATTAATTGCATTTGCAATGATGCTCATGTGATCCTCATTTAAGGATAAGTAACCTGGATATGAGTATTCCAGAAGCTCCTTATCTTTATACCAGCTGTCGTAAGAAAAATAATAGAAATTAAACTATAAAATATTCAGTACATGCAGCACGTGCATTGTCCTTCTCTTTGCTGTTAAGCTGTGCTTGAGGCAGGCACTGCAGCACGGACGGACTTGCACAGTAAGATTTAACCTCATTGATTTCACCTGGATGGTGGCAGTAATAACATGGTGTACTATCCTGAATCTTGCTGAAAACAAGTAGGAATTTGGTTCCTGAGTCTAAACTAACCCCTGGACTTGGACATATTTCTCTCAAGTTTAGATGCATCTAGAAGTAACTCATAACTTTATCCATGCTCATAACTTTATCCATTCAATTCATGGTTAATTCTTAGTAAAGACAGTAGGTTTTTTTGCAGAATACAGCCCAGGGACTTTGACAGAGGTAAGAATTATCCTTATGCTATATATGTGTATTGGATTTTATCTTTCTTCTGCTGAGCTTACATCTGATAGATCTGCTTCTGAAATAAATGCTTCACAGTGTTATAAACAGTATTTGCACATTCCCTTCCCACAGTTAGTCTGCCACCCCTCCTTCTACTCAGGAGTGCCAAATCAAAGACAGCCACATGTTCCAAAAGCTGAACTGCACTCTCATGTACTTTGTTTTGCCATACTTCCTTATTCTTTCTCCTTTGGGGTATTTATGCTGCAGAGTATTCTAAAAGACTGGAATAAATGACAGAGCACTTACTAAACTTTGCCTTTTTTATGGATGATCTTCTGTCCACAGCGGAAGGTGACATTCCTGCCTTCAGAAACAGTCTTGGTTTTTGTCCTTGGAGGTGGCAGAGTAGGAGGAACTGTTGGAAATGGGAATTCTGTCCACCAGAAAAAGAAAGTGCAATAGTTAACATATCTCATTATCAAGCTTGAGTCATCCCAAAACACTTCCACAGAATTATGTTATAATCTAAGTAATCTTAAGGTTATTTGTTAAAAAATGACTCTAATTGAACAGCTCTGGGATGCACATTTAACACTGTTCTATTTGCATATGAACACACTTCATGTGCATGGAGGAACAGTTCAGTTTATGAACATTCTCCTGCAATGCATGTACTTGTAGCTGCAAATTTTTGTAAAAATACCTCTGTTCTGGAGAGGGAAGTACTAGTTACCTGGTGCATCAGGACAGCAGGCTTTTATCTGAAGCTTAATTCCACAGCTGCAGTAATCTGAGGTGATAATGCATCAGTCCCTTACCTGAATGCATAAAACTGAGGCTAGGTAAGGTGTTTAACATACTGTATCCCTCCTTTTCTTGGAGCAGCTCGAGTCCAGCTGTGCCTGAGATTTCATTTGGCTAGTTCTTGTCCCATCACTGCAGCAGCTACTGTAGTGCCAGGCCTTTGATTTGGCTGAGATGTACAGGAGGATATCTGTGCTACACTTCTCCTTAGAACTGGGTGCAGCCAAGTCACTTGCAGCCTCTGGCCTCTAGTGTAGAGTTAAGATCCTGCCTATCCCTGCAGCAAAGGCTGCTTAGCTTTACCTCCTCCCTCCTGCAAGACCCACCAACATCCCAGAAGAAAAGTTGGGTACCGTAGCAGAAGTCACAGGTGAACGGACAGTGCTTTTTCATCAGCTTCTCACGTTTCTCACAGAAACCTTTTCGGGCCCACAGGGGGCACATAAACAGTCTGTCCTTGCATCCTGAAACAGAAGGAGACAATCCTCTGAGAAACAAACTGACATTTCACCCAGTTGAGATTGCTCAACATAAATGGTAGTGCGAAGACGAGAAGGAACCTAGGACTGGAAGTATAATAGGATGCCATTACTAGAAGAACAGGGAGCTACATACTGTGCTACTTCCATGCAGGAGCACCTTTATATCCTGCATAGAAAGGAATAAGATTCCTCCTGAGTGTGGCTCACTGGCATCAAGCTCTCATCTCAGCAAATGCTGAGTACCTAACAAAGAGCTCCGTGGGATTTGACTGGCACTTCAGGCAAATGTTCCTTATCAAGAGGAGCCCAGAGCACAGCCCTCATTTCCTTACCGTAAAGTCTGTGAATTCCCCAGACTTCATCTTGAGAGATGGTCTTTTTCCCAGTCAAAGTAGCATTGATGTGCATGAGAGCATTTGGGTTTTGGGAGTGCATGAGTCCTAAGGCATGCCCTATTTCGTGAGCTGCTACGTGCACCAGATCTGTAAGCCAGACACCTGGAAGAAAAATGGAAAAAAGCTAACTGCAGTGAAGTACATTTGCTAATCCCAGTGTAAAGCCAGAAGAAGAATTTTAGCACTTGGAAGGTGTGGTCTTATCAAAGGTTGCCAGTTTTAACTTCCCTGTAGCTATTTGGGTGTAAACGGTCAAGAAATTATTTATCCATGCTTCTAATTCCAAACAGCAGCTCTTGCCAGACTCAGAAGACTGCTCCAAAAGACCAGTGATTGAAATATGGAGCAATATGCCCGCTCTGGGCAGCTTGCTGCTGCTTTGTTCCCACAGCCCTGAGCTGGGACTGGAAACGACAGGGAGTGAGATTGCTGCAGTCTGAAAAAGCCTCTGATTGACTTTTGCTTACAGGGTTGAACTGACGTTTGTCAGCAGCACCCTGAAGCCTGCTTCCAGCAGAGCTGGGTTTTAACTGAAGGATGACTCACAAGAGGAGCTGTTACTGACACCTACCCTGATATCTTGCACAACTATAGGCCATAGGAATACTGCGCAATGCCTCTGTTAAATCCAACTGCGTATGGGAAGAAAGCATCTGAAGGAGGTGGCTTGCATACGTGCTTAATTTATCAGTACATTAAATAGGAATCCTTGGTGGATGTTTTTTGGCTCTTGCAGAGTCCTGCTGAACCTCACTGACGTGACTTGGAAGAACAGTACTTCCGTTGTACTTCGTTTCCAAATTTCTTTAAGCCAATAGCTGAGCTAGTTCAGCTTTGGGAAGAGAAGCAGTCATTATTAACAAGCATTAATAGTCAGCCTTACATTCACCTGCCTTTTGAAGGCAGAAGTGCTATTGCTGCTTTACAGAGGTGGCTGAACTGTATGCAAATCAACTGCATAACTATCTCCATGTAAATGAATGGAGTTACACTGCCATGAAGAAAGAATCTGTGGTAGAACTGGCACGTGGGACTAAGATGTAAATGCTGCTGGCGTTATTACTGATCCCTCTGAGACGTGTCTTACCTTTCTTCCAGCTGAACCGAGTATTTCCTAATATCCAGTACTCATGGTCATCAAAGTGGATTTCCCCATTGGGTGGGAAGAAGGCATGGGCAAGTTCCCCTGTTGTTCCATCAAAGCAGTGGTGAATGAGAGACTCCAGACAGTCTGTGTGATTGATGGAGTAGAAGCCTGCAAAAAGAGAAGCAGATTTAGTCTTTCTAGCAGGACAGACATCTGTAAACTTGTGGTTTACTAACACATCTCTTGCTGTATCCCAAATGTTTTCCAAGTTACACACATAACAGGAAAAATCAGTGCAAAACAATTGTATGGAACAAGGGTTGTGATGCAAACTGGAGCCAACTCTGCAAAGACCTCAGATTTGGAGCTGTCTTCAATGCACACAAACTAATCTACTTTGCAGAAAGGAACACTGAGCACTTCTTGCAACATCACAAGGAAACTTTGGGGTGTTTTTGGAGTGAAGTTGGACCCTGAGATGATAACCTCAGAGCATAATCATCGGACAGTGAGATGCTAACCCCAGAATGCAATCAATTTTAAACACAAATAAACGGAGAGCAACAGAATTGCAGCTGCTTGCTGTCCTTCTGCTAGCATCACAACAGCTTCACACTGCGGCCACTGGAATGGGGCCACCTGGAGCTCACAAGTGGCCGCAGGAGAAGCCCCTGACGGCACATCATGTGCTTGAAAGCAGCAGACTGAAGAGCAAATTGCGAAACAATGGAAAATCTGCTCGTTATTTCAATACTGTGGCCATCTGCACAAGAAATAATTATTGCACACAGGCCATAAATCCCAGGAAGAATTTACATCTGGGTTTGAGACTGAGCAGATAAGACCTCAGCACTAACATATTTCTAGGCTTGAGAAAGTCAGGAGGTAACTACTGTACAGTCATGGGGGAGGGCAAAAGGAAGAGGAGGAGAAAAGACAGTGCTTGAGCCACCCAGCAGAAGGGAGCCAGCTAGCACACACAGCAGTCCTGCAGTGCAGCAGGCCGAGCAGCCTCACCTATTTTCAGATCACTGGGTACGTGGCGTGGCACTTCTCTGAAGCTGAATGGTGAAACTTCACTCCACATTCGGAACGCAGCCGCCAGTCCCCTGCGTGTGTCCCTGGCATTTATGAGGTTTCTTGGGAAGGACAGGATTCTGTAATAACACAGAATAACATCAGGGAAATGCTGTCCCTGCCCCAACATCATCTGATGCTCTCTAGGCTTTATTAGACTATCACCCGCTGTAAAATGGTTTTAAGAGCTACCCAGTCACTGACGAAAGGATTGGCAATATCATGATTGATATCCATGCCCTCAACAAAACAAGAAAAAGTCAATGCAAGTCCATACTTGTAGGTCAGGTTGAAGTGGTCCCATTTCAAGTGTCCAGGTGTGATCGTGTATCGCTTTCTCCGTGCTGGAGGCCGAGGTGGAAAGGCTGGGCTGTGCAAAGCAGAGGCACTCACTTCACGGAGGCCAGGTGATGTGGCATCTTCCTTAAAAGAAAAAGAAGAGGTTGAAAAAGGTGGGGGAGACTGCAGGACTGAAGAATGTAGCAGTCAAACCAACCGATATGGGGCATTTGGGGGCAGGGGAGCACAACCAGTCCTCCCTCAGAGATGTCCAGGACAGAAGACTTCGCAAAGCATCCCTGCTCTGAGTGTGCTGAACAAAATCGAGATGGAGCAAAAGCAGGGCAGTACTGTGAGCAGCTCCTGGGGCATTGCTGAGTGCTGGATCAGAGATCAGCCTGTGGGTTCCCTGGAGCTGTTGCATAACTCCAGCATGGGGCACTGCTGCCACTCCTCTCCTGGAGCGCAGAGCAGAAATGAGACCTCGGCAGCTTCTGGCCACAGCGAGAGCTGCAGCTCTTCCTGAAAAGCTCTCATTTCCTTTTCACTTTGCTATTGCTCTCCAGCTTAACCACAGAAGAAATGAAATACTGAACAAATGCGTCAAACAGGCAACTCTTTGTGCTGAGAGCACTTTATGGAGCTGGACTGTGAATCTGAAATGCCTTCAAAGTAAACTGGAGCTCTGGAAACCCTGGAGTGTGTTTAAAGCCATCACATTTGGTGACACGCCTGACTCAAACTATACCAGTCTGTTAGTCCTGAGTAGCAGAGGTAAAAGAATGGGACCCAATAAGGTCCTCTGGAAGTTTACCTATTCTGCTTCCCCCTTTCAGCAATAAAACACCTACCGTCTCTGGCTCATCTTTGCTCCAGAGGCACCGTGGCAAGCACGAAGCAGGATGTACAGTGGCAGTGTTACAAAAGCAACACCAGTCTGAGTTAGCTCAGCCTCACAGCATATTCTACAGAAGGCAAGTTGTCTTCATTTCACAGATGGAACAGCTGAAGCTTTGAGAGGCAAAATAGCATCCCAGCAAACCAATGGCAAGGAGAAGAAGCAACAGCTGCCAGATGCTGCTCAAAGTGCTCCATGACTGCAGTCCTGACTGGTAGAGGGCTGAGGGACTGCATCCCAACAGGAGACTCCAACAGGAAACCAGTCTCCTCTGCTCACGTCTGAGCTGTACAGTTGCAACAGCACCGACACACACAGGCAGATACAGTCAGCAACCCTCTTCTGAACTACTCACCATGTGCAGTCAGGCCTCCATTAATTTACTTCATTGACTGTAATAAATGTAATTCTCTCTCTCTCTCTGATGCAGTTCCCCTCCAAAACTAAACAGAAGTGTAACTTTGTGACTTAGCACCAACTTACAGAGCCCTGAATATGTGATACAAGCGAGGGATGCTGCTTGCCAGGATCACCGTAAACACAAACAGCATGAAGGGGTGAAAGCATTTAAACGAATATTTTTTCTTTTTATAAAATTGAAAGCTAAAATGAAGATAAAGTGAAAATTAAGATCAGCTTCCAAGCATCCCAGTTCCAACCTGAATTCCAGTCTGTCCCAGTATATCTTAACGAAAGTCACAGCCATCTAACAGTTTCTGTAAGTCCAGCATTAACTCCCAGTTGAGATCTTAAACCACAAGCCCAGCATATGGAGTTCCTAGGAATCTCAGCTGCCACAGAAAGCAGAATCTATGCATGCCACATCACAGCAAGCTGGGAAAGCAGAGGTACTCAGGATAGCTGTGGCTCTGATCTCTGCAAGCTGTGTGCACATCCAGTTTTACTTAGATGAGTCAGTACCCCTTAGGATCCCTTGCAAAAATGGACTCAAACATACACAAATGTATCTGGTTGCCTTGACAGTTACTTACATATTGATTAGATTGCTTCCTGAATTTACCACTCTTGTAAAAAGAACACATGCACACACATTTGATATCCCCTCTCCCCTCCCAAGCTGTCCTGAGAATCAGATCCTTTCCCTACCTGACTTTCCTGAACTGCAGCTCCAGCTGGATCTCCTGCAATAGCCAGCAAAGCCACCACGGGGAATATGCATAGGAATCCCACAACGGTTCTATAGCCATTGCTCTTTTTATTGTCCTCTGAGAGAAAGCTCTTCTTTCTGTCAGCAGCAAGTTGTTCTATTTGATCCATGTTGTTCTTTAACACTTTCTAGAGGAGGTGAGACAGATACTCGGACATTCCCTTCGCAGAATGCATTGGTAATCCTTTTGCTCACAGATGCATCTGGAGCATTTCTGAGGAGTCCTGCAATCACTGCCAAAGCTGTGCAGAATCACTGGTTTCAAAAAGCTCTCGCTCTCTCCCTCTCAAAAAAAAAGGGGGGGGAAGAAAAAAAAAAAAAGAAAGCAGACTTTACATTAAGCTCCTTTCCAATGTGCCAAAGATTCTCTCGGCCTCTGCCAAACCGTATCAGATTACTGCAGCTGAAAGTTGGGCTGGCAGAGGAAAAGCAGCAAAGTGAAACAAGCTGGGATGGCCATGAACTCTCCTCTTTAACTGACTGTATAATCAACAGAGGACAAATCTGCAGTTGTCAGCTTTATGTAATGAAAAAATTGGGGGAGGGGGACAGAGAAAGGAATCCAGAAGCCAGCATCACGCCCATGGAATGCCTGATCAGGGATGCTTCATGGTAGAGGAGCTGTCATTTGTCAGAGGCTGTCCTCAGCAGAATGAAAAATGAGATGCTGTGCAAGAGCAGGCACGCTTTCTGCAGTCAGGAAATTTTGGTCATGGAGCTTACAAACTCAGATAAAAGCAACCATCAACTCCCCCATCCATGGAACTTGGCAGTTGACTCCTGCAAATTCCTTACGTACCTGGGAGCTACCTAACGAGGGGTTATGATGCTGAGACAGGCACAGGTTTCAGAATCACGCTGATCTGGGGGACCGCAGCTACAGCACCCCAGACAGACCCTTGCAGAAGCACGCAGTGAGTGCCTCTGCCTTCCATAAGGTTAGCAAGAGTCAGTGCTGATTGAAAGTGATCTCACCTTATGTTCTGTTCCATATGCCCTCTCCTCTCACCAGTGTCCAAGCATTTTGCCTCACATCTGCCTTGAAGTGGGGGCAGATTATTATTATGCTGCTATTATTATATACTGCTATTATCTGCATCTTATGGGTTAAGACCATAGCACAGTGTAGGAAAGATGACTTCCCTGAGTTCAAGCACGGAATCTTGCAGAGCTGGAATGCGAAGCCAGGTCTCTCAAGCGCCCAGTCAGTGCCTTACTGCTTCTGAACACGACTGGCACACCTGGGGATTAAAACCCAGACTGAGAGCTCACACAACCAAGTGCCCTGAGGGACCGAAGAATTTCCTTTGTCTCACTGTAAAGGAAGCAGAATTTTTTAAAGGTAGATGCCTCAGTTTGGATCTCCCCCAGAAGTTAGGAGCTACAACTGTAATAGATGTGCATTCTTGAGTCCTGTTTCTGAAGCCTCTTTCAGATGCTCCCTAGGAGCCACTGCTGCTCCACACAAAGGGAGTCCAAACTGCAGCTTTACCTTTGGCTCTTCCAATAGCTGAAAATACTCTGATTTATCAGGCTGCCTGACCCCCGAAACGACTGCTTTTGTTCAAGAGCGGAAAAGCACTGCTGTGACTTCAGAGTTCTCCTGAATTTTGCTAGTCCCAGGTCCTCAAATGTGGATATTTGGTTTGGACTACAGGCAAGAACTGTCAGCCTGACTATATTTGGTCAGAAAAAACATTCCTGGCTTTATTTTCTGCACAGTGTCTAAATGCAGTGGAACACATTACAGTGTGAGGAAATCCATATGGTGTAATGGGGAACAAGAGAGGAAGGCAAGGGGCAGAACTGGCTTTGGTTTATCTTCATGCTGTCAGAAGCAGTGAGAAGGACCTGGATATCATTTTTAGAGCTGGGATTTTCTATGCAGTCGGGGATGACTTATCTTGAGATCTCTGCATGCAATGAATGTCACACTAAGAAGTTATTTCTAAATGGCTGTCAGAAGGGAACAAATGCTGCACGAAACCCACAGCAGCCAGCAGGAGACCCTGGGGAACATAAAGGAGCAGATAATTTGCACAACACACCACACTTCCCTTGTTAAGGCACCGCAGTCTCAGTTTGCTCTTTTCAATCTTAATTCCTGCAATAGTGCGTATTATTCAGCATTGGAACAAACTGCTCCCAGCAGCTTCCCCCATCCTAAACAGAGAGCTCCTACACAGGGGTGGGGAAGACAGAAAGAAGGACCTTATCATGTCTGGTGACTTGGACTGAGAGCTGCAGTGTTTCATCTCCAGGGCACGGGTCCAAACTCAGGCCACAGGCAGGGGAGGGGGAATGCACACAGCTGAATGTGATTTACCACATATTGGCTCCTTGGTGGCCCATGTGAAAAGAATTAGCAAATCCTCGTATAGCTCTTATTTTAAAAAGAACTTAAATATTTATCCCTTCATCTCACAACTCGGAAAAAGAAATTCCTGCGTGGTTCCTGTGGGAATGGCAGTTAGAAGTTGTACTTTTTCAGTAGGTCACACGCTAAAAAGAGCTGTGACTGCTGCACCAGGAAGCAACGCTCCCCAGGGAGGAGGAGAATGAGAATGCCCTTCTAGTCCCCAGATATTCACCCTGTTCCTATCGTGCAGCCCCTTGCAATCAGCTGATATTCCTAGAAAAATCCATGGTCTGCTGAATAGCAAAAGAGCTGAAAACAAGGGCTTGCTCCAGCTGGCAAAGGAAATGGAATACTTTGCTCAAGTGTCAATCTGAAGCTGCAGCTCACAGAATTGCCTCTGCTGGCCTGACCCCGTGTTACCAAAGAGATGTGGTCCTGACCCCAGCTAGGAGCTCAGCATCCCACGCCTGGCCAGGCAGTGATCAGGACTTCAAGAAGGAAATGAAGGAGAATTTTTTCTTGATGTACAGATAATAGCATATGTCCATTAAGGAATAAGAATCACTTCCCTGGGTTCTGGGCTATTTCTCTTGTTGCCCTTTGCTAGGCTATGTTCATCAGTTGTAATCCATTTGTGGATGAACCCATCTTCCTCAAAACATGGGAACAGAACAGACTAGTGGGAAGAAAATCAAAGGAGTGATGGATTATTTTCTTGACTTTAGACAAGCTCTCTCCACTCCCACAGTCTCATGCTGTCTGTAAAATGTGGAGTTCTGGCCATGCTTCCAAAGGATGTGCTTTAGAAACTCTGTCTGAAAGAGATACTTCTGCACTGCAATACCGAAGCAGTACAGGGAAGGGAACAGAGGAAAAAGCTCTGGGCATACTATGAAAACCTGGATGGGGGTGAAAATGACACTCAAAGACTGAAAAGCATATTGGAAAAATAAATTAAAAACAAACAGCCTTGAGAAAACCAAACGGCTATAAATCCACAGAACCGAGTTTGGTTTTGACATTAAGAGGAGGAAAGAGCATCTGTACCAGAAAAAAAGAAATAAAGCAGTGTTATTTCATGGGTAAAGGAAGACTTTGCAAAAGGAAGGCTAACGAACACTGAAGACCAAAAAGAGAACCTTGCTCTACTGCAAGGAATTTTCCTTATCTAGACAGGCCTGAGAATCCAGTCTTCCAGGCTCAGATGCTGTGCTTCACATTGTGCTGCAGATATTAACGACGTTTCCAGAGAAGGAGCCTTCTGACCATGCCATGAGTTTTCCATTCTGTGAAGCTCCCTGGGAGGGGTGTGGAATTCCTTACGCAGTGCAGAGCACCTCCATGGCATCCTAACGCCCACCGCAGCCACAGCAAGGAGCCTCTGAGGGACAACAGAGCTCTTTTCTGCAGCAATTGCAAACCTCGCTGTTCTGCTTGACAGGATAACCCAGGGGCAATTCATTTCAGGGATGGCAAGGATACATCTATCTTCCTTTAACTGCAAAAATAAGGTGATATTAAAATACTTATGAAATGGGAAGCGTTCCCCAGCACTGGCTGCACTAAGAGTTTGCTCCAGTTTTAGCCAAGTCACCCAGTTGCACTGAATAAATCTTCTGTCTGCTCAGATGGAAGCTGTCCCCAGTGGCTGTTTGTATTCACTCAGAACACACTAAACCCATGCCTAAGGAAATGCTGCAAATACAGCTCTGCTTGGCTGTATCACGGCAGTGATGATAAATGGGGCAGAACCTCCAGATTATAGAAGGCCTAAGAATGGGTAAAGGGCTTCTGCTCCCTGCAAGCTCGTGTCCTTACTTTGCCCAGAATAATGGCAGGTTTACAGAATCAATTTTCCATGAAAATCCAACTGCATGAAAAGCCTGCTCATGAGACCAGCTGCCAACTCAAATACCAGTCTCCCAGCTGGATTAGCACACTACCTGCCAGGAAAAAATTAAGTGGCAGCATGCATAAAAAACTAACAAAGTGGTTAAATTTGTTACAAAGTGTTTCCTGAGGCTTTACTAAAACGGAATAAAGAGGGAGAGAAGCACATCAACTCCTTTGTATTGTAAAGGAAGCAAATAAATTCCTCTATAACAGGAGACTGACCGAGAAAGAGCATCTTCATTTAGAGACTGACCAGAGCAAAGAAATAAACTGTGTCCATTTGAAAACAATGGCCAAGACTGCATAAGCCAGTAGACATTTTCTATAAAGCGTCCACACCAGGAGTGCAAGTCAAAGCAAAAAGACACTGAGCACAGTCTGCTGCAGCACTGCGGTGGAAAACCTTGGGCATCCGTTCATTACGCCTTGCTCTGAGACAGTCAGAAGTACTGGACTGTAACATACAGTTTTCCCCTACTGCCCAAAGTGAGAGAACGTTTTGTAAATTTGGTACTTTTCACAGCCAGAGCTCTCAGAACTGGTCAGCAAATGCTGCAATGGATTCAAGTAATCCTAGGAATACTGTTACCAGTTTCAGTGTCATGAGAAGCATTCACAGCAACCATAAATACTGCAGAAAAATTGCAACCAGAAGAGCCCATTTAATGGAAAGAAAAACCATCTCCTGCTTTTGTAGGTCAGTTGAGAAATGCGAGCTGACATTTCAGTTAGGAGGATTACATAAAGCCCATTAGTTTTAGCATAAACCTGTCTCAGCTGCTGCCCCGTGTTTAAAGTTTTATCCCAGAAAGAAGCAAAATCTTTCCCTTTCAAAAGCAGCCCTGCTGCGAGGAACAGAGCTGCATTTTGGGAGGTGGCACAAGACCCACAGGAAACACGGAGCTCCACATCTGATTTCCCAAAGACCTTTCAGTCTTATTTGTGAGAGACCAATTAATAAGAAACATCACACACAATTATTTGCCATCTGTGCTGAATAGCTAATGGCTCTACTTGCCTTTTACTTTTTAAAGGAGCATTTACCTACTGCTGTGCCATCTCCGCACCTCTTCCCAACCCATTGCTGTCCTGCATCCAGTAACAACACCAACTGGTAGCAAGAGGCTAAAAGGCAGCAGTGCCTTCTCCCATCTTGCCCCTTTCCCTCTTCTGTCATCATCTCAGCCTAGATTCTTGGCTCCTTTCTTGCCTGCTACACATCTCTCCTCTTGTGCCTCAGATTTAAGCCTGTACTGAAGCAGAACTATTCTGCAGACTGGGATTATGGTACAGATTACACAAGTTAGCAATAAATCCAGTAACCATTTCTCCCAGCTTGGCACTCAGCTGGCCACACATCACTTTGATCCTGGCCCTACACACAGCCAGGCTTACAAGGAAAGACAAAGCAGCAGCATCCCCTCCTGCCCTCCAGACCCTCAGCCTCCCACAGGCTGATCCTGCCATTACAAAACACATACCTGGCACGTGGAGGCACCTGTTTGCCTTCTGCTTCTCTCTTGCTTTTTCTCTGTTGCGGTGCAGCAATTTCATCTTCCTAGTGAGAAGGAGGGAAGGGTCAAAATGTTGCTTAACAGCTCAACTTCTGCTCCTTGGGC